TCAAATAGGCAGAACTGCTAGCTGGTGTTAGGGTCAGGGTGATGGCCACTCTAGGGGGTGGAGGGTAGGCCTTGGAGGGGCCCAGAGGAAACTCTAGGGTGCTGGCCACGTGCTTTTGGCCTGGACGCTGTTACACAGATGGGTGCTTTATGTCCGGTTGTACACTTACAATTTGTGTACTTTTTCATTTTTTTAGGCAGAGTCTCGCTCCGTCACTCAGGCTGGAGTGCAGTGGCGCCATCTCTGTTCACTGCAGCCTTCGCCTCCTGGCCTCAAGCTATTCTCGTGCCTCAGCCTCCTGAGTAGCTGGGATTACAGGCATGCACCACCATGCCTGGCTCATTTTTTTGTATTTTTAGTAGATGGAGTCTTACTAGATTGTCCAGCCTGGTCTTGAACTCCCGGCCTCAAGTGATCCTCCCACCTCAGCCTCCCAAAGCACTGGAATTGTAGGTATGAACCACGGAGCCAAGCCCCTATAAGTAGTCCTGAGACCTGGTGGCACCTACAGCTTCGTGTGCCCTCCAGCCAATGCAGCTCTCCTTCGCCTTCTGCCTGAATCTCGGCTACTCGGGGCTCTTTACTTGGTGGGATCATTGAGGCTTCATTTGTGCCTTTGGTTGTTGCTGCACTTCCTCACTGACCTTTATGACTGGACAGCAGGTACTTGGAGGAACCCCAGAGGCCCCCTGGCTTCTAGACATTCCTTCTGCCTTGCTGTATAGCAGCACCCAGCTTCCCCTTGGTAATCAGGGTGGACCACCCCGGACAGTAAAGGGCCTTCCTTTTTGCCTCATGAGATTCTCAAGATGGCCAAGCGTCAGTCTCAACTTCCAATTCAGGGAACATTGGCTGTGTGTGCTGGTGGAGCAGTCCCTCCCTAGGGACGTCAACCTTCAAACAAATACAGCTCCAAGTTGCAGAGGTGGGAAGGAAAAGCTGGGCTATTAGATCTTACAATGAGAGGAGCCCCTACCACACATACCCCTTGATTCCCGGAGCTGTGTATTCAGCCATGGGAAAAACACCATCCACCTCTCGTGGGTTCAGAGATAGCACTGGCCCCACAGATAGAGTTAAACAGCAGAACTGTAGTGTCTGGAGGCTGGAAGTCAGAGATCAAGGCGCTGGCAGGTTTGGTTTCTAGAGAGGCCTCTCTCCTTGGCCTGCGGGCAGCCACCTTTTTATGGCCTTTCCTTGTGTGTGTGAGCCCCCAGTTCTCTGCATGTCCTAATCTCCTCCTCTTATAAGGACACCCAGTCAAATTGGAGTTGAGCCTACCCCTAGAGACCTTATTTTAGCTTAGTTATCTCTTTAAATATTTTATTTCCAAATATAGCCACGTTCTGGGGGCCTGGGGGGTTAGGACTTCAGCATATCAATTTTGGGGGGACACACTCAGCCTGTAACAACCTGTTTGGCCCACCAGAGGCCTAAATACCATGCTAGCCCAGGAAAGCACAGGACATAGCTGGGGTTGCAGAGGGGGACAGTAGAGATGGGAAGACGGTGCAGGCCCCGGAAGGCGTGGGGAAGTACAGTCTCTGGGGGGGTCTGCTAGGCAGAGAATCGGAGAGGGCATTCAAGGCAGCAGGAACAGCACGTTTCAGGGCATGGAGCAGCAAAAGGCATGCACCTTTGGGGTAAGTCAGTGCAGCTGAAAGACAGAGCTTTGCAAGCAGCAGCGCCTGTGGCTGGCAGGGACCCAACCTCCCAGCTGTTGTTTGATGGGCACTGGGTCCTTGTCAGGATTCTAAGTCAGGAGGGACAAGGTGAGAAGTCACTATGTTCTGTCAAAGATGCATGGATGGGAGATGGGGCCTGGGATTTGTGTCCCACGCTTGCCACTGGCAACCCGTGCTCCTTTGTTGCAGAGTGAGGGCTTTGGAACCTCAGGGATCTGGTCTCAACTTCCTGCTCGGCCATACCAGTTGTGTGAGCTTGGGGACATGACTGAGCTCAGACTCCAGATTATTCAGGTGTAAAGACACAGGTTATTGTGGGGATTAATAAGGTAATGTAAGTGACATATGGCAGAGTAGACACGGTTCGCCTTGGCTTCCTTTGGCTTATCTGGAAGTTGTTTTCTGTGTAAAATGAGGTAGGCACATAGATTTTCTGGGGGATGCAAGAGGACTCAGATGGGCCAGTCCAGTGGGGAGTCATGGGCTGGCTGTGGTCTGAGGGGCTGCCCACAGGAGTCCAGGCAGAGGAGGGTCTGGAGTTGAGAGCTGCAGGAGCCCTGAGCCAGCACCATGGGGCATCCTCACCAGCTCATCCCCAGCCTCTCCATGTATGGCCCAAAGCTGGCATTTCTGATTTCCAGGCTCTGCTTCCTGGCACCCAAGGTCTTTGCGGATCCCAGAGAGGCTCACCCTGGGACTCAAAAGAGGTGTGCTGTGGAGAGGAAGGAGGCAGAGGCAGCCTGGGGGAGGAGGGAAAACCCGGCATGGGGGGTATGAAGACCTGTTTATTTTTCAAACTGGTTCCAAAGATTTGTTCCGGAATTACTCCAGGGAAGGAGTCCCCCCTGTCTTTGGGGATGTCTCTGGCATGTTAAGAGTTTCAGGTAGGATTTTGCTTGGGGAAAAATATTCTGCAATAAACACACACACACACAAACACATACAGACACACACACACACATGCAAAAACAACCAGGGACAAATTAATATCTAAGCTCTCTTTCTAGTGCACATAACAGTGGCCTGTCCACAGTTCCCCCCAGATCCCAGGTAATCCCTTATGGACAGGGACCTTATTTTACATTGTACCCTCAGGGCACAGCCTGGTGTGGCAGGCAAGCCCTTGATAACTGTTTACTGTCCAGGCTGAACACCTGAAGGGGTCACACTACAGGCCAGCCTGGTGGACATTCGACAGAAATCAAGAATTTTATTTGGCCCTAAATCTGTTGCTGTTCATCTGTGTCACACTTACCACATATTAACAAGGCTGCATTGAGATTCTGGAAGGCAAACACACGGCCATATGCCGTCTTCTCTGGGCACAGTAAATCGGGTTCTGGGGCGCGTGTATATGAGCCCCACACCTTCAGCGCCTCTCAGCACTTTCCTGGGGTCTGCTCTGTCGGATCCACATGAGGTGACTTTGCCCCAGCCACACTGGATTAGCGCAGGGATGTGCACTTGACCCAAGCCGGGTCAACCAAAGCCCCCTCCTCAGGAGTGTGGAACTGGCCCCAGGAGATCCTAGCTCACTTTATGGAGACATAAACTTGGGGGGATTTGGGGCAGTCATTTTCCATGGCAGGGTCTGGGCAGCACAGGGCACCTGTCTGCAGAGGAAGGAGCTCCAAGCCAATGCAGAGGGAGTTTGAGGTGATTCTGCCGCACCCTCCCCTGGGCTCCTTGGAGCTCCAGTGGGGCTTCCTTGTCCCAAGTTCCTCTTTCGGTGTAAAGTCAGCTAGAATTGGTGACTTGCAAAAGACCTGAATCATGCACTGACTTTTTTGCAGGCCCTCTCTTGCTCTAGAGAATCAGGCCTAAGCACGCAGACCCTGGAAACTGAAAATGCTTTATCCCACAGCACGTGCATAGTTTTCGATGCATCATTTACCCAATGAGGCTGAACCCGGAATTGGACTTCTACCTGCCCGTCCTTTCCAGGTTTTAACTATGTCCTAGCTCTCTTGACTTGAGCTGGGAAATTCCCTATGCCACTTGGACTCTACAGCTCTGCTCAAAGGCCCTGACGTAAAGTCCCCCTGAAAGCCAGGGCAATCCCACCTCCGCAGTGCTGCCGCCTCCACCGCGCTATCTTCCCGAACCTCTGCTCTCAGCTTGTCTCTCCCCAGCTTGGGTCCTGAAAAGGTTCTACTGAGCACAGTGCCTGCTCCCAGCCATCTGTCTTGCCCTCAGCCATGTGCCAGCCACACACTAGCCAGGCCCGGCCTGTCCTGCTCTCACCCTGTTCCCTCCCTAGCCGACTGGAACCCCACTCTCCCCTCCCCACCCAGCCGACATCTGCTGCTTCTGGGACCAGCCCCACTGTGTCTGGTCTGACCGTCACGTGCTTCTGCGGCAGCCCTTTCCTAGGTGACCCGTCTGCTGAGAGCAGAAACTGAGGTGGGCAGGCCTGCGCCACCTTCCCCTTGGCCCCTTTCCAGTGCTGAGTGTTCTGTCTGGCACAAAGCCAGGGTTCCGCAAACGCTGGTTGAACCGAAACCCACTGTGGTTGCCGGTTCCTGAGCTGGTCTTTCTTCCCGTTCCCATGCCCAGCTCCCAGCCACGAACTGCAGGCCGAGCCTGTGGCCAGGCTCCCTCTCCTGTGGCCCAGAGAGTGTCTTTTGGCTGGGGATGCTGCTGTCGGGACCCTGCTGTGCCTGCTGCCAGGCCCTCACCAGCCTGCTCTGAGCAGCTGGGCCACACTGACCACCTGCCCTGCCCTGCTTGGCAGTCAGGAAGCACTTCCTGTTTCTGCTTCTGAAATGGACTGCCAGCTCCCAGGGGCAGCAGGGAACCGGCCCCAACACCCCTGCCATCCACCTGAGTGGCAGCTAGGCTGCCCTGCAGCCCTCCCTCACCCCTTCTTGTGTCTCCTGCTATGGGTGGCCTTCAGGAAATATGCACTTACTAAACTCAGCTATGGGCTTCGGGTCCAGAGGAGGAGCCCTGGGGAGCAGCGCCCAGAACTTTTTGGCTTTGAGGAGGGGGATGAGGGGCAGGGGACAGAGGCGGCTGTGAGGTCCTGGGCTTGGGGACCCTAGGGAAGGAGTGAGGCAGCCTTAGGGACCCCATACAAAGGTCCCCAGGCCTCACACGAACCCTCCCCAGCACCCCCCGTGACCCCCACCTCTCCATCCTGGACTGAGCACTGGGAGGGGCCTACTGGGAGGAGAGGCCCCACTGTGGGACATGGGGGAGTAGGGAGTGTCAAAGGGGCACGGAGAGAAGGCATTGCAGGAAGCACCTTCACCAGGGCTGGCCATAAATAACCCCCGGGCAGAGTCCATTCCAGTGGTTCTCACCTGCAGACCTGCCCCTGCCTCCTGCCTTTCCCTGTGCATGCTCTGAGCCCGAGAGGACGACTAAGAGAGCGTGACAGAGGGGCTTCGGGATGCCGCCTCCGTGGGCAGCGGGTAGGCTGTGGCATCCCTTAGGGGGTAACCCCACTTCCCAGACTGCTGGGCTCCAGGGAATGGGGCGGCCAGAGGACACCCGCCCCCACCTCTGCACTCGGTGGTCCTAGGGCCCCCGGTCTGCAGGGTCCATTGGGACAGCAGCTAGAAAAATGTCTGGCTGCAAGGGACAGGGGCCTACCCCAGAGGCTTAGGGCAGCAGCTTGTTTTCTGCCACAGCAAGAGGTTTGGGGCAGGCAGCTGTGCACGTTCAGCTCTGCTATTCGAGGGCCTTCCGGGGGGCCTCCCTCCTGGTGTGGTGCTCTAGACACCGGGCCACCAGCAAGGGGTGAGGAAGGCAAAGGCCTTGCCTGCTGCGGCACTGCTGATGTCAGGGAAGGAATAGACTTTCCCAGCCGGCCTTGGTTAGCGTCTCAGGCCACCCAAGCTGTGAGCGAGGCTGGGAGAGTGAACGGGACTGTCGACACAGACTTTGACCACGGCCGCTGAACAACGCTCAGGGGTAGGCGGGATGTTAGGATATTGGAGGGCTTTCCACAGCGAGGGCTCTTGGTGGCTGCCGCCAAACAGGGCAGGGTCTGGTGGTGGGGCAGGAGGCTCAGGGACCTGGAGACTGGCGTGGGGTGGCCTGTCTGGGTGGAAGCTCTGAGGAGTCCCTGGGAAGGTCCCAAGCCCCAGGGTCAGGAGTCCCTTCTTAGGCTGAGGGGGTGTCCACACCGGGTGTGGGAGGCTGCTCAGGTTGGCTGGGCACACAGCTGTGAAGGCAGCCCTTTGACGCGCCTCGATGGTGCAAGGAGAGAGCTGGGTGGTCTCGTAGTCACCAGGCTGGGGCTCCAGCCCCACGTTACAGCCTTGCTGTTGCCCTCCAGTGACCCCTCGCATCTTGGAAGTGAGACAACGTGTGGTAAACACCTGACACCTGGGTAGTCCTCAGAGGGGGCCACAGGGTCAGCTGGGGACGCGGAGGGGTGAGACGGAAGAGAAACTGGGATGGGGCTGACTTCCAGGAAGCTGGGACATCATGGGGCCCCAGTTCAGCCTGGCCCAGCTGTCAGAGGGGCTGCTGGTTCAGAGCCTGGGGCCTTCTCCAGTTGAGATGCCAGTGCCGGGCGGCTGGTGATAAACGTGGCCCCTGTCCCAGAGCAGTGCACGCTGCCTTAGGCATTGGCTGTGTCCTAATCTTACTAGAACACTCCTGGGCCAGCCTCTCCCTCCACCCAGCACCTCTGGGGAACACTGGGGCTTCCTAATGAGTTAATCGGCTCAGAAGGAGCCCAGGGAGTCCAGAGGCAGGCGCAGCGCAGCACCCCCCACGCCCCACCCCAGCCCCCTCCACTGATGACACTGTTGACACCGCGGAGAGAGAGGCCTGCTCAGTGGGTCGTTGTGCTGAGAAATGAAACATTGCCTAACCCCAGGGAGAAACCACAAAAAGACAAAAACACGCACTGTAGCTGCAGCTGGGCCTGAGGGCTCAGCCCGGATCCTGCTGTCTGCAAGGCGGGTGCAGCTGTTGTGTTGTTTGTGTTAAAGGCAAGAAAGAGAAGGTTTGCAGAGTGGGATCGTGTTCAAATCCCCAAAAGATACCCCTCTGCCAGAGGACGAGTGGCGTTTGTTTAGGGACAGTGGGGCCTGGTTTCTTTGTCATTGAGTGGCTTAATTCCACTCTCTGAGCAGCCCTGACCGAGCTTCGCACCTGCGCTGGGGTCCCCGCTTGTTCAGAGCTGGGACTGGAGAAGCAGCGCGTCCCTGTCCCCTTGCACGCTCCCCCATACCCTGCCCCTCCCCCTCCAGTCGTGGGACACTGCTATATTGCCGAAGGGATCTCAGGGTGCACTGGGACCTGCTCTGAGCAGCCCCCACAGGCATCAGGGCAGAACTGGGCGGTGAGGTAAACACAGCGACGTGCCAAGGCAGATGGCAGGGCAGAGGCAAAGGTGGCTCCAGAAATCAGGAGGGCTGGAAAGGAACTGCTCTCATCCCGCAGAGGTGCATGTCATGAGTTTGCAGCTCAGGTTGGAGTCCACCATTCCTTATCCTTTATGCACAGGTCCCCCACGGGCGTCTAGGGCCGGGGCTACTGACCGGAGGCCTGCTCTGGCTCCCCTCCCTCCCGAAGGTGCTCTGGTCAGGCCTACCCACTCCCACCCTCAGCCCAGGCTCAGATCTGTCTGTTCTCCTCAGAAGGCAAAGTTTTGGGGACTTGGGGCCACTCATGGGTTGGGGGCTGGGTTGGGGTCTAGAGGCATGCTTAGGGCCCGGCCTCCATGGCAGGGCCAGGAAGTGAACCCCAGCTATCACTGGGGCGGGAGCCAGGTGCCTCCCAGCCAAACCGCAGCCCCAAGGGCTCCTCCTGTCCCCTGCTGCCCTCTCAGGGGCTGCCAGACCAGCTGCCCCACTCCCATGCTGCCGCCTGCCTGCACATCTCCTTTCTAGGCCCCGCCCAAACCCCTGAGTCTTGGAGCCCACCTGCCATGCAGAAGCTGCACTGCAAACAAATACACACACACGCAAACACACACACACACATATACAAGCACAAATATACACCCACGCACAAATACACACACACGGAAACACACACACATACAAGCACAAATATACACCCACGCACAAATACACACACACGCAAACACATACACACAAATATACAAGCACAAATATACACCCACGCACAAATACACATGCAAACACACACACACACAAATACACACGCACAAATATACACTCACGTACAAATACACACACATGCACAAATACACACACACAAATACACACGTACAAATATACACCCACGTACAAATACACACACATGCACAAATACACACATACACACACATGTATGCACACAAGCACACACACATGCAGGTGCACACACACACACATGCACACACCCACACCAGGAGCTCCCTCCCTGGAGCCTCCCCTTCACATGGTCTCATCCTGCTTGTGCCAGCAAAGTCCTTTAAGGCCACACCTTAGTGATATGTTCTGTGTCCCTGAGGGTGGTGGCCCTGTGGTTCCTGGTTCCAGTCTGGTCTGACTGACCCCCCTGCCCCCGCTCTGCTCCCTTCAACACTTGGCACCTTAAGGCTGAAGGCCCCTGTGGAGACAGCGGCAGCCCATCCACCCAGATAAGGGTGGCGTTTGAGTCTGGCTGCTGTACCTATGACCTTAATCTTAACACATGCCACCAGTCGCAGACCGGGGGAACAACGCCAGTGCAGCAGGAGAATGTCACTAAATGCCTGCTTCATGACAGAGGAGGTCCTGAGGAGCTGAGTTAGGTCCTGGAAAAGTTTTGTCCCGCCACCGGGGACAAAATGGCGTTGCTTTATGTATCACTAATCCTTGGAGAGGCTCCTTGAAGATGGAAGAGACGAGGGGATCTAAACACAGCCTGGGATGCCCAGGCCTCACTGGGACGTACCGTGGTAGGAATGAGGGTGAGATGCCAGTGCTGGCCTCTTGCCTCTCTCCAAGATCAACGAAGCTGGGCACTATTAAAGGGGTGAGGACAGACTTTATTGAGTAAGAATGACTGCAATCGGGAAGAGGCGCCAGGGTGAACTGAGCTCAACTTCCCTGAAACAGAAGGCAGGGGGTAAAGGCTGCGTGTGCTCAGAAGACACTGGGGGTGTTAAGGAGGGTTGGTCCATGAGACTCAGCCACCTGGGTGTGATAGTGACTGGCTACCTGGGTGTGATAACTGGGCTCATCTGGAGGAGAAGCAAATTCCTTTTGTCTTTAGTGTCTTTTTTTTTTTTTTTTTTTTTTTTTGAGACAGGGTCTCACTTTGTGGCCAGGCTAGAGTGCAGTGGCGTGATCTCGGTTCACTGCAACCTCCACCTCCCGGGTTCAAGCAATTCTCCTGCCTCAGCCTGCCAAGTAGCTGAGATTACAGGCACCTGCCACCATGCCCAGCTAATTTTTTATTTTTTGTTTGTTTGTTTTTCGTGTAGACGGGGTTGCACCATGTTGGCCAGGATGGTCTCAATCTCTTGACCTCACGATCCGCCTGCCTCGGCCTCCCAAAGTGCTGGGATTATAGGCGTGAGCCACCGCGCCTGGCCTTGAGTGTCTTTATGACAATGGTACAGGTTAGAGCAAGAAGCCCACCCAAGTCAGCCCTGTGGCCTCCCACAGGGACTGGGAGCAAAGCCAGAGTGAGAGCCTCTGGAAGTTCGCATTGCAGAGGCAGCTCCCAGGTCCTTGTGGAGACAGTTCTGGGTGGTGGCAGATTCTCAAGGGGCAGCGGAAGGATTCACAGCTGCCAGCTTTCTGAAGTGACTGCTCAATGAGAGGGTCCAGGGGCCTATCCGCCCATCACCAGGTTGTGGCTGTGACAAACAGTAAATTCTCCTGGCAGCACTGCACTCTCTCAGGCAGGACCCAAGGGTGACTGGGGGCATCATCCTAGGGACACGGCTGTTAACAACTATGCTGGTATTTTTATAAGTCTCTTAGTGATGGTTGGGGGGTGCAGGGGGACAAAGTCATTTGCACTGAGTTGGCAGTTTTTATAGACCAGAGGTGATGCTGAGTGGAGAAGAGGGCTCAATAGAGGCTGACTGGTTTGGTCAAGGAGAGACTCTGCCGGCTCCTGCTGCTGCTGTATCTGTAGACTCCTTCCCTCCAGGGGACATCACCCCGGCTCTGCTGGTCACCTTCTAGACACAGCTGTGCCTAACAATGCCTAATCAGACATTGTTAACATGCACAGGAGCCCATAGTGGTCAAGGGAGAGCTAAGAGAGCGTATCCTGGGCACATGCATTGGATGGGCCCCCAAAGAATGCAGTCTGGGCCCTGATGCTGGGTCATGGTTTCTCAAGAAGTCCTGAACCCTTTCACCGTTTTCCTGAAGCCCTGCCCTCTCCTTCAGCTCTGCAGGGCACACAGACCCACGTTTCTACCCCATGTGAGAAGTCATATTGCCTTGGGGCCGCCATGCTGTGAGGAATCCCAAGCTAACCACATAGAAAGGTGATGTGGAGGACCACCAAGGCACTAAGCAGGCGAGGGAAACCTTTGGGGACCTTCCAACCCAGCCTGGTAGCCAAGTGAACACAGCAAAAAATGTGTCTCTAGTCAATGCCCTGTGACAATAGTAGCCAAGATAAGCATGAGAAATAATAGATCACTGTTTGGGGAGGTGCAGCAATGTGTCCTCTGAACCCCAGCAAACGTCATCTTCCAGAGAATGCTGTCATTAATGAGGATGATGTGGCAGCTTTCGGGACCACATTGTGATCTTGTTTTCTGGATATTATCATCAGAAATAAGCTGTGAGGGAGAAGAGTAAGCTGGGGAAAGAGAAGGAGAGTGAGCAGGGGAATGGAAGTCGTGTTCCCTGGAAGCTAGGACCCCGAGCTCCTAGGGAAGAAGATTGGAATGACAGCAGCTCACTCCATGTAGAAGCCAAGAGAACCCTGGAGTCCACAGGAAACTGAAAAGGTATAAACATGGAGGCCTTGGGCCCAGAGTGGCTCAGGGAAACTGTCCTAGAAGGTCCTGAAGCATTGTGTGTTCTTCCCCACTGACCAGGACCCCCAGGAAGGCGGGAGTCTGTGCTTCAAGAAGGGTGAAGGTGAGCTAAGAGAAAGTGGTTCCAACTGGGGTGAGAGAGGAGGGCTTTGGATGCAAGTCCAGGAGGAATAGGAGAGAGGAAAGGCCCAGGATATGGTGGCCTCTGGAAGAGCCGGGGAGCACTGGTTTAATGCCCAGATCTGGAAACATCTGTTTGGCAAACAACTCTGTAACCAGTTAATTTCTAGCCAGGAAGACAGAAACCATCCCAGGCATTTTAAGCAGAAGGTATTTAGTGCTGGAATCGATGACAAAGATGTTGTAAAAGCCGGAGGAACAAATGGGCCAAGAGGGTGTTACGCAGAGATCTGAGGCTGCTCCTGCTCTACGCCTAGTTCAGGCTGATGTTTAGTGTAGGGGCCAAAGGTGACCTCAGAAAGCACCCAGCAGGCAGAGTTTGAGGCATCCGCATGGGCAGAGCTGGTGCTGAGGCTCAGGCCATGGGGCTGTGGAAGGGATGCAGGAGAGAAGGTTCTAGACCAGGGCTTGATACTTCACTCTCTGGAGCCACACGGGCTGAGGCTCGGGCATGCGTCCCTGGTGCTGATCTGCCCTATGGATATTAAGGTGCCTACTGTGTGCTGGCTGTGGCATCTGTTGTTCTGGGAGGTGATGGTGTCTTCTCTGGAGCCCCTTGCCCTGCCCTTTGCCCAGTGGCTCTGCCTCTGCCACGTGTAGGCCTTCAGCTCCCAACAGGGGTGGAGGACCACAGCTGCCCATCTCTGCCGCCCCAGCCCCAGCCCAGAGTACGGCAGGGAGTGATGAATGCTGGCATGCTGACCCTTGTTTGTGAAGCTTGATCAGGAGGCCCAAGTGGAATCTGGGCTAGCTTGGGACAAAGGGACATGATGGGCACCTTAGGGGATCCTAGGCCACCGGAAAGGCTCTGGGTGGCCTAAGGTTTCAGTCCCAGCTCCTGTCTTTTTGGCTTTGGCTTCAAAATCCTCAATTGCAAAAAAAAGGGAGTTCATGAAAACACCAAACCCAGGTTGGAGGACGAAATGGCATATGGCCCTGGTGGGGACTTCACCGGGGGGAGGCGTGGCCCAAAAGGCTTGGGTTGCGTCAGTGATGCCCATTCTGTTTGCAGGAGCCTGGCATGAGCAGAAGTTCTGAACCCACTGGGCTGTGCAGTGGAGGAGAAGGTGGGCTTTCACACAGAGCCTGGCCAGCTCGGAGCAGGGGCAGAGGGAGACTCAGGCTCTTCCTTCCAGGGACTGCAGACAGCTTGGCAGAGGCCAGGCAGGCCCAGATGGGACGAGATCTGGCTGCCAGGCTGAGGAGTTTGGACTTGGAAATTTAAAAGCCCTTCAGGAAGCCTCTGCAAAAGACTGGCCTGTCATTGATAATTAAAAGAAAAAAAATCGACCACAATGCAAGGCAAGGAGTGGCCTTTGGTAGAGGCCGGGCAGGATCCAGGGGGGTGTGGCCGGGCTCAGGCATGGGCAGGCCCAGATCCTGTGCATCCTGCTGTCGGTGCCTCCCACCTCTTTCCCCTTGACACCCGCCTCACCCTGGTCGTTTCCAAAGAAGGTCCAAGACCCCCACCGTGGCCCTGCCCTGACAGGTGGAGGAGCTCTGAGCCTCCTGTGGGAGCTAGAGCTTAGCTTGGGCCAAGGAACCTGCACCCGTGGAGGATAGTGGGCAAGCCGCTCTGCCCTAAGCGGGGAGGCTATTTTGGGTTCAGAACCAGGCTGGATGAATTCTGTCCTTCTGCCGGCAGCCCTGGGAGCTCCATCTGCTCCAGGGAACAGGTTGAGAGCTTCATCAGATGGTCCTTAAAACCCAGGCGCTCTGCGGAGGCCTGCCTGGGCCTGAGCCACTTCTGACCACGTCCTGAGGAGAGAGGCCATTTCTTTTACTGTCTCCTGTCTCTGAAGAGAAGGAGGAAGTAAAAGTTGAAACACAACAGGAATGAAGTCAGTGGCAAAACCAGCCGGTGCCACTGATGACCAGGCCTGAGGTTAAAAGATTAACCCCCACTCTAACCACAAGTGCTCTCAATCTATCATGACCCTTTCACGTGCAACCCCTTAGAGTTGTAAGCCCTTAAAAGGGCCAGGAACGCTGCCTTCGGGTGGGGGAGCTTGGTTCTTGAGATGCGAGTCTGCTGGAGCTCCCGGCCAAATAAAGCCAAATCCTTCCTTAACCGGGTGTCTGAGGGCTTTTGTCTGCAGCTTGTCCTGCTACACTCCAGCTGGAATTGGAGAGAAATTCCAATTCTGGCACAGCCCAGACCCTCTCCGACCTGGGCTGCGCCACCCAGACAGCGTCTCCCGCCTCCTGCGCAGTGGCCAATACCAGGCCAAGAGCTTCATCTTCGTTACCCTGCTTCATCGTCACAAGACCCTGGGGGCAGCAGGTGCGATTTTAATCCCATCTTATAAATCTGGAAACTTCCATTTACAGAAGTGACAGGATCCTCTCAGAGGATGTGGCCAGCAGGCAGTGGAACAGGGATTTTGACATGAACTGTGACTCCCAGATGCCATGCAGTTGACCAGGCTGCCATCCGGAGCTTCCCTGGGGCCAGGAACTGCCTCTCAGGCCTGACAGGATTCAGATATGCACCAATGCACACATTGGAGGAGAGGTGAGCGAAGGGGGACCCCACGACCCTGAAGCCTGCAGTCTCAAAGGGAAAGAGGACCCTCCACCCACGTGTGGATTGGCGGGCCTGAGTGGGGCACCCTTCTCTGTTACAAGTGCTGCTCTACCCCCACAGCCATGGGCTGCACTTCCGTCCTTTGGGCAGCCTCGAAGGCTCTGCAACTCTCCCTAAAGATGCTAATTTCACCCCCAGGGCCATCCAGGCTGGGGGAGCCTCTTGACAGAAACCTCCCATGTATGCGGTGTCTCTCACCCAGGCATCTTCCTCCTCCTGCACAGAGCCCTGTTCTCAGGGTTGCTCAGGCACACAGGTGACCTGGATGTTCTCTCCTGGATGTGACCCATTGTGTGTCTTAAGTGTCTGGGGCATGATCAAGAAAACAGCATGAGCCGGGCACAGTGGCTCATGCCTGTAATCCCAGCACTTTGGGAGGCCGAAGCGGGTGGATCACGAGGTCAGGAGATCGAGACCATCCTGGCCAACATGGTGAAACCCCGTCTCTATTAAAAAAAAAAAAAACACAAAAAATTAGCTGGGCGTGGTGGCGTGTGCCTATAGTCCCAGCTACTCGGGAGGCTGAGGCCGGAGAATGGCCTGAACCCAGGAGGCGGAGCTTGCAGTGAGCCCAGATTGTGCCACTGCACTCCAGCCTGGGCGACAGAGCGAGACTCTGTCTGAAAAGAAAATAGAAGAGGGGAAAAAAAAAAAAAAGCATGGCTTAGCCTCCTAAACCTTTTGGACAAATAAACTTCACACCAACACTTAGAAGGGCAACAGCTGATGTTGAGGAAACATGACTCTATTTGTTCTCATAATCTTTATTCACAATTTCAATAAGATCTCCTTTGAAAACAAACAACAGAATGCTGTCCTGGGTGCGCGGCATAGTCAAGGGTTGCGAGAACCTGGAGTCCTCCACTTGCAGGGCAGCTGTTAAGGGCTTGGGACCCGCCCTCGTTCACCCCTGCTGCGTGTCCCTTGGTTCCTGGTGCCTGTGAGGCTCCAGCAGACCCTAACCCAGCCTTGAGCATGTGAGGCCCTTTCTGAGGCCCTCATGGGCCAGAGGCAAAAGGGCTGCTCCTTTCTTCAGGCGGGGTTCCAGTCAGGGCCCCACAGGAAGCAGGTGGGCACATGTGGGAGGGGCACCCCTCCTCCCCAGGCACCCCCCATATCGAGGGGCATTTCCTGAGCTCCCAGAACAGCTGGAGAAGGGGATGATGCATCTGTTGGGGAAGGTGGAGGAGCCTGTCCACCGTCGGCCTCATTACCCACACTTGCCAGAGACCACGAGGCCTAAGGGTGGCGACTGGCTGGTTATGGATGCGGGGAGAACAGGCTCATGCCTCTGCCCGCTGGCCAGTTCACAGCGCCACAGGCTCCTTCCCTGCTCTTGGTTGGTTCTCAAAGGAAAAAGTGGAAGCATTTTTATGATCCTGCTATTTGGCTCTGGAATTCCCCTTTGGAAGGAGCAATGGCGGGATAAGGCCCCATGGTGGAAGGAGGATCCCAGGCACCTGGTTAGAATCGACTGCTCTGCTGCCCTGAGCTGCTCACAGTAGAATGGAGAGGATCGAGCACAGGGCAGGATTGAGGTGGGCACCTGCGTGTCTGAAGGTGTGCGGCTGGCCCATCCATAGCATCTGCTCCACTTGGGGACAGCACATGAGGGTCTGTGGCGGAGAGGGGCAGTGGCTCATGCCTGGACACTTATAGGGCAGAAGAGGCAAAGCTAGGCTGGCAGTAGAGGGGCTGGAGGAACGTAAGCCTCAGAGTCAGTTGCAGTCTCCAGGCCATGCCCCGGGTGCCTGTCGGCTCTTGGGTGCTTGGCACAGGCTCTGCTGCTGTGCAGGCTGAGTCCCACTCAGAGTCCTGCCCTTCAGTCTACAGGCAGGGGCCGTTTCTGATTGGATCGCAGAGTGGCCACATGGGCTGTGGGAGCTCCGCCAGGCTATCGTGTGCAGTGCTCCACTACTCCAGCCTGTCTCTGAGACCCTCCGGCATCTGCCCAGTTGCTGCCTAAAGTGATCCCATCTCCTAGGCCTGGAACAGTGCCTGCCCCGCTCCCGTGTCAGACACAAGCCCCACCCCGCTCCGGGTGCCCTGTCCTCTGACACGCATGGTGACACTCTCCAGCACCCCTTCCTTTGCCAGGTTCCCCTGACCTGGGGCTGGCCTCCAGTCCCTGAGTCTAGGGACCAGGCCTGCCAGACTTGTCACCCTTCAGCTGGCTCCCACCATGACCATGGCACGAGTGATTCTTATTTTATTTTTTGGACTTGCCAAAAAACCACCACATCAGTGTGTGGTGAGCCTGGAGGACAAGCCATCTGCGGGTAGAACCCAATAGACATGAATCATCCATTCATGGAATGACCAGTCGGTCCGGGCTCCACTGGATAAAGGTGTGTTGTCCACCCAATGGGAGGACAAATTGCTTCTGGTCCCCTTCTTATGGGAATGGAAAGAGGATGACAGTCCCAGATGGATGGGCGCATGCCACACTCCTGAGCTGCATTCTTCTGCTCTACCCTAGACACTGCCTCCGATGCCTCAGTTGCAATGGGCAGTACTTGCTTCAGTTTGGATGGTTCACTGACACCCTGTATCTGGTTTTTGTAGAAACTAGGCTTGTAAATTAAATGGGAATATGACAGGGACCACCAGCCCTGAACTACTGAATTTGTTTAGGGTGGCACTAATCTCTGCCGCTTGCCCCCTGCCATGTGATACCATTTTTGATTTGCTATCCTGGCCAGGGGAGGGGAGACCCGGAGGCTTCCCCTTGGCCCTCCTGCTCTCATGGCTCTTCCCCCACAGGTGGAGGAATCCATGTGGGTTCTAGTGACTGCTGGCAATCTCCCTCCTAAGCATATGTGCAGGTGGTGGAGAGGTGATCCCGACCACAGTGAGCCAGACCCAAGACCCGGTCCCTCATGCTCCTCCCCACCAGGGGTCTGTGGAGATACTGGGACCTCCACTCATCAGTGTCAACTCAGATCCTGCGCCCAGCAGTCCCACAAATGTCTGGATGTCTCCCTTTCCCCTGTGCATGGAGATGTAATCCATGGCTGAGAAGCCCCTTGGGGAAGGCCTGGAGGAGTCATTCCTGCCCACACTTGCCATGGGTTTGCGGCTCAGTCTTCACAGATCTGGTATCTCCTTCAGTCTGGGTTCTGGGTCTGAGGACTGGCTCGCGGCTGGAAACCAGCCACGGGATTATGATTTGGGGGTGGGAGGTGGCTGCCTTCAGCCTCCTGGTCATCCATCCTGGGTACTGTTGATCACACAATTAAGCCATGCCCTTGGTAACCGCCTACCCAGCTTGCCTCTGTGGACTCTGGGTTTGAGGAAGCCCCTCTGCGGCTCTCTGCACAATAGGCCCCAGCTGCTACTCAGAGTGGCCACCTGCTGAGATAATTGCATCCACCTTGCTTCTGAAGGTTAAGCAGCACCATCTGTTCCCTATCCCATCGAGATCTTGTCATCATCCCTGTTGCTATTAAGATCCCTCCAGAAACCTCTACTGTCAGCCCTGACCCTCAGAGGACAGCACCACTGAGCTTCTCAACCACGAGCCACCCTCTCCCCAGTGCTCTTTGTCACATTGGTGTAGGGGGGGTCCATCAGCCCTCCTGGGTTTTCCAGCCTTACTCAGAGCCTTTGGTCCTGAGCTGACCCCTCCTGGGCATTCCAAGAATCATTCTAGCTCACGGTAGCACCATCTCCTGGGGTCCTGGCTGGGCTGTGAAGTTTCGCATCAGGGATCTCCTGGGGTCCTGGCTGGCAGTGAAATTCTGCCTCCAGGCGGGTGTGCCCACACTGACAGGCTTTCCCTCATCCTGTGCTCTGGCATCCTCAGGCCCAGGCCCAGGCACACTCTACTGGTCTTCCTGGTCCAGCGTGGGCCTGCAGCTTCTTTGGCATAAAAGTCTTCCCTGCCCATGACCCAATTTGGATGAAACTTGAGGACATTATGTTGAGTGAGATAAGCCAGTAGCCAAAGGACAAATCTTGTATGAATCTACTTACATAAGGAGCCAGAGTAGCCAAATCCACAGAGACAGAGTAGAATGGTGGCTGCCAGGGCTGGGTGGGGAGGGGGTGATGAGGACTTAGTGATGAATGGGGAAGAGTTTCAGTTTGCGAAGATGAAAAAGTTCTGGAGATGGATGTGGTGACAGGTGTCAATGTACTTACTGCCACGGAGCTCTACATCCAGAAATAAGAACTTTTATGTTACATGTATTTCACTTCAAATTCTTTTAAAAAGCAAAACCAGGCCTCTACTCCCTTAGCAGGTCCAGCCCTCTCCAGTTGGGCTGCAGTGGGGTTTGACCCTTCCCATCAGTCTGGCTGCCTGGAGGAATGGTTGAGGTGGGTCTGAAGGAAGCACTGTCTTGTCAGACACCACCAGCTTGGGGCCATTGTGCAGTCTTCAAGCTGGCTGGGGGAAGGGACACTATTGCCTAAGGGGGAGTGGTCACTTCCACAGGCCCTGCATGTACATAGGAATCTGAAGCTCTAGGTCCTCACTTGTA